GAGAGAGAGAGAGAGAGAGAGAAGGTGCTATCCCACAGTCCATGCTCTCAAAGATTGAGTGCCACACTGCCACAGCTTCTTTTTTGAAGTTTTTAAAACTTTTTCTAAATTTTTATTTGACACCCCACATTTCCTCAAGTAATGGCATACTCAGTAGCGCTCGCACTATCACTTTTGCGTCTGAGTCTGGCTGTAATTGCTTTTAGAAATTTAGATACACACAAAAAAGAACTCTGAGCGGTAGTATTTCCTAAGAAAAAAAGGATAGAAAATAATAAAACTGTCAATGCACAGTGCACACTCATACATATTACGTTGTCCTTTTTTTTTTTTTTTTTTTTTTCTCCGATCTATTCGTGGGGAGCAGCATGTGCTGGGGGCCGAGCCCAGCGTTCCTTTGAAAGAACAATATTGAGAAACTTGAGAATCCTCCCCCTGACATCGTTGATTACCCTGGATGCCACAGGATTAACTGAGCAGGGTACTAAGCTTCCCTGAGGGGGAAAAAAAACAAAACAAAAAAAAATGCTTCCCTGAATGCATGGGGGGACAGCAATGACCAGATTTAGGCCAAAACAACCAGAACTTTCCTCAATGCATATGACCACAAGTATGTTCCTATTCACTCAAGCAGTCCCAACCATAACTTTTCTCCATGCATCTGACCACAACTATGGTCCTGGTCAGTCAAGCAGTCCCAGTCTGAGTATGACAAAGTTAAGCTCGATTCCACGCATTGCTGATGTCACCTAGGCTGCTGTTTTTTTTTTTTTTTTTTAAACACAGCTTTTTGGCTCTGGCTCCTACCATTCTGGGGAGCGACAGTCCGGTTCCTTTCCCCTGGCAAGTCAATAATATATACATCAGAAACTCACTCACTCTCCTCCCCATTATGGTTGGGAGGCCCGAGTGGACAGCTGCATTGATTACTTCCATAAGGAAGGATGTACCATCCCTCACCCCTGCTTACGTAAGTCGGCGATTTTATTCCATCAATCATCCCTGTGATCCCAGTTGTACTAACTAGAGTCGCCCGGGACCCCACCCGAAATCTGTGACTCCTCAAGCCCTATTTGCATTGCTCCTACCTAAACCTTAAACCCTGAACCCTAAGCCCTCAGCTGTAATGCTGGCATGATTTTGATGTATTACCTCAGAGAATCTGACGCACTATTCTTGCTCACGTTGCTCCGTAATGTCAAACCAGTGAAAGACTACTCTGGATTCTTCGATTGTTGCTATCTTACCCTTAACCAACGTAACCCGTTGAAACGTTTTTAATGTCTCCCGGGTTTTCTCCAGGTTTTGTTAAGCTTGTCTTCTTGCTCTTTGCCATTGTGCCGTGATATCCGTCTCCAACAGATTGTGTAGAACTTGTCTCTTATACACATCTAGATGTGTATTGGAGCAATGTCTACATGAAGACCATCAGGTACGT